CAAGGCGTCCCGGTCCAGAAAAGGCCGCAACTGGTGAATCAGGCGGACCTGATAAAACGCCCCCCTGGTCACGGCCGCCAACTGATCATCCAGTGTCAGCCGTGAATCCAGGAGGACACCCAGATTGCGTACCCTATCCGAGGGGGCCAAAGTTTCGCCCCCTATAGTCAGCGATGGAGTCAGCTGACTATGCCAAGGCGCCGGTAGCCACAGCCACTTGGTCTTGGAAGGGTTGAGCCTGAGTCTGTTTATGGGAGAGACATTCTTCATCTGGCTCCTCTGATGAGAGCTGTGCAATATTGTTGAACTTCTGTCATAGTTCTCATCTTCATCAAGCAAACAAGCCCCACAACCACATCAAGGAGCAGTGCCTCACTGAGGGGTTATTACGGTGATGATTCACTGCTCAGTCAGCCAGATCTTTAGACTATTATTAATGTTTTATAACATACTGCATTTATTAATTCTTTATTATTAAATTAAATTTACTAACTGTGGTTCTATAAGAATTTTCCAGACATATTACATAGATGTTTTGAAAAAACTTTTCTCTGGCTGTGGATCAGATGATTATGGCTGGAGATGTTAATAAAAGAAGCCTGTCTGAATCTAATTGTTGCACATGGAAAATATTGCAAGTTTATATAGTGAAGTTTAATTTGGTAGACATATGGCAACTTTTAAATAATTTATAACGGGGGGGGGGTTTCGTTTTGAAGTTCTCAACTGGATTTTTAAATGTACTATAGCTATATTAGAGTAGGTCGCACACACTGATCAAAAGCTTTTCAGGTATAGGAGGAGGTTCCTGAAAGTTATGCTTGGCAGGCATTCAGCAAACTAAGCATAGTTTTCAAGAACAGCATCCCCCTATGCCTGAAGAGAAAGATTTTCGATCAGGGTGTGCTACCTGCTCTAACATATGCCGGTAAAACATGGACACTAACCTCACAATCAATACAAAAGCTACCAGTGGCGCAAAAGGGCCATGGAAAGATGCATGGTCAGCATTACAAGACAAGATAGAAAGACCCACACATGGATTAGAGAGCAAAGTATACGGTACCAATCAGGAGAGTAAACGAAATGGAAATGGGCTGGTCACATAGCAAGAAGAAGAACTGATGGCAGGTAGACCAGGGCAGTCATAGAATGGATCCCACTTGATAAAAAAAGCATCCATGAAAGAGACCTAAAACAAGGTGGAGCAATGACATCAGCAAGTATTGCAAGCCCAATTGGTAAATAAAGCTCAGGTCCGTATTGGTTGGAAACATGCAGAGGAGGCCTTCATCCTGCAGTGGATAGACAATGGCCAAAATGATAATGATGATGATAGCTATATAGCATCAGATTTTGCTGTTGTGCTACAATCAGGGTAGGAAATAATCCTTTTTTCTAGATTTTCTTTTAAAATGTCTCATTATTAAAGGATCCACTTTTTGTAACAAGAGTTTGACAACTATTTTACATTGACAGTCT